AACTCTATTCTTTATAAATTACCCAGATACAGGTATTTCTGTTATTAGCAGTAGAGAATGAACTACGAAGCCACTTGGGTTTGCATTTTAATTCACATTCCTCTATTTCTATCTGGGAATCATCCTCTTAAAGCACAAGCATTTCCCAAGGAGAAGGGATGTTTGTGCTTCCTAGGGCCTGCGATTTAATTCAGGGAAGGGTTACCATGCTATTTGGCCAGAGCTAAGACACAACTTGTAATACAGCTTTATCGGTAATAAAGACGATATTTTCACTTCTATCTTTGAAATCCTATGTCTTCCAGGTTGTTGAAATACAGGCAGAATTTCTTTACTGAGTCCATTAAAACCTCAGGAGCTATTCAGTCGGGTTCCGTGGACACATTTTGAAAACCGCTGCTGTGGGTTAATGGGCCGGGTGAAGAGAATAACGGAACTGAAAGCAAAAGAAGAAAAAGGTCAAATCCAGAACTGATGGGTGTGGGGAGAGCTGACGGAGTCTAGGAAATATGCCAGGGACTTAACCTGGTACAATGATGTTAGGGGAGAGCAGAAGTCACTGCGGGGCAGATAATGAGGCGAGACTTGATGCCCAATGGCTCCAGCGCAGAAGGCAGCTGGGAGTGGAGAAAAATGTCCTGGTGGCTCAGGTGACTGTGTGGATGGAGCAACACAAAGAGGAGTAGAGGGGACAGTTAGAGCGTGGTCTGGGTCTGAACTGCATGTCCTTCCTCAACGCTTAAGTGTAGAATTTTGGAAAGAGGGCTATTGGCCATGTGGGGGAAGGGGGAGCTTAGGGTGAGGCTTTTAAAAGGAAATACTCTGTGGGTGATCCGTTGTGTTGCTTGTGGTTTCTTGTGGGCTGTGCATCAGCTAACCAGCTAACTCACTCTTTGCAAGAACTATTTCCTGATAAACTCATCTTAGGCTTCGTGGGCTGCAAGGGATAGTGAGTTAAATAGTAGCCCCCTAAAAGAGATGTTCAAGTCCTAATTTCTGGTCCCTATAACTTGTGTACACATTCAGAGAAAAACTCTTTGCAGGTGCTATTAAGTGAAGGGTCTAGATAATCCTGGATTAACTAGGTGTACCCTAAATCAAGTATCTTTATAATAGACAGAAGAGGAGAATATACAGAGCGAAGAGAGTGATGTGAAGATAGAGGCAAAAATGGAAGGTATGTAACCACAAGTGAAAGAACACTTAGAGTCACCAGAAACTGGAGGAAGGAAAGAAGGACTTTCTTCTATAGGCCGCAGAGGGAGCACGACCCTGCTGCCACCTTGATTTCACATTGCCTCCAGGACTGTGAGAGAATAGCTTCTGGTCTGAGCTGCCTAGTTCGTGGCAACTTATGGCAACAGCCTCAGGAAACTAACACACAAGGATCAGAAACACACTGAAACTAACTTTGACAAGAAAGGGGGAAGAAGGGCATTTTATAGGAGGACCGAAAGGGGTATTATAAATTCCTAAGACAGCAGAGGATGACCTCAGATGACCTCAAGGCCCAGAACCAAGACAACTGGGAATGGGGTGACTGTTTCATTCATACACACGTGATTTCTCCTCTCTTGTCATTCTCTCTCTGTCTGCAGGCTGGCTTTCTCTGGTTCTTCACACAGTCATATCAGGCACCTTCTACCTGACTTACCTGTCATTGCCCTTTCAATGGCCTAACAGACCAACAAATGCCTCTGTGGCCTGATTCTAAATTCCAAGGACAGAGACTCACTCAGCCTTGGCCCAATCAACTCTGGCCCTCTGGGATGAGCTCTTGTGTCTTGGACCATCCCCTGGATTAAGGAGGCCCTGGCAAATATCCTTGGAGGCTCCTGCTGGGATGCCAGAGGGTTCTGAAGGGCAGAGACCCAGCCAGCTGAGCTCCATCTATCTGCCAACTTGACGGGTCAGAGAGACTTCAACCTTCTTATCAAATTACCCTTCCTGCTCTAGACAATGGCCTTAGCCGTCTAACCTTTTGTCTCCTCCAACTTGTCTCTCTGGTGTAACCGCATCATGTTGCTGAGGAGGAAAGAGCAGAAAGCCATCCATTTAGATTCTCTTCCTGTTCTACACATGAAGTTAATCTACTGGAACAAAAACGTTATTGATTTTTATCTGTTATCTCTGCTTCCTGAGACAACCATTGTGTGCTACAATTGGTGTAATATTGGGCTCGTTTTGGAATTAGCCTTTAATAAAAATTCCAGTTCATGATTTTTTTGGTCATGCTCTCTTTACATGGCTCCTTTCAGGCCCAGTGGCACAGGAGGTATCTGCGCATTAAAGGACTTTAATTTAACTATTATATAATGCTTTGGTCAGCAAGGCAAAACCTTCACCCAAACAGAAATTGTAAGCCAAACATGGAGGTGCCACAACAGGAGAAATTTGTTGTAGGGAGAGTCCCATTGTCCTGGAAAGAGTCCCACTCCTTGATAGTTACTCAATAATCAGGGAGAATTAGATGAGAGCAAGGAAGTGCAAGGTGTTGACCTAGAACTAGGATTACAGGGGTGAAAATCCTGGACCTTGTGACTCCCACATGGACTGTATGGATGGGAGAGGCAGGCAAAGATGAAAGAGAATTATGCCAATGATTATATAATTGCAAGCTATAACAAAGACCAAGGAGGAAAGGCGCCTTGACGCAGGATGAGCGAATAACTTGGGCAACCAGCCGGAGGGGTTTGACTTCTCAGAGTAAGGTGTATTTCCCTGAGATCTAAAGAGGGAGTAGGTGTTTAATGGAGTACAGTGGGAAGGTGGGGGTGGGGAGGGGAGATGTCCCAGTCAAAGGGAAGATTGCATGGGGACAGTCACTATATAATCCCATCAAATGTAGTGTGAGCTCGTGAGCTCGTACAGACACACAGAGGGGTGAAGGAATGGGACCCCATGCAGTGATGTTTGCTGTTTTGTCATTTGTGTGTAGAAACTTTTGGAGGCCATGTAGGTCTTCTGGAGCATGTTAGGAGACCCTGACATCCTTGGCTTCCAGGATTTTCTCTGTATCAGGAACTCTCAGTATAAAAGAGTCCAAACAGGGCCAGCATGTGGCATAGTAGTTAAGGTACTGGTCTCCCATGTGACCTTGGTTTGAGTCCAGGGTCCGGCAGCTTGAAACTCATGCCAGGTGCATGTGTATATATGCCCAAAATCCCAAGAGGAGAATGGAGAAGGGACTGAAGTGTGGACAGCACCCCCTCACCCCCATGGGGTAATTTCTCGCTTTCTGTCTCTCTGGCAAGTGTACATGCACTATAGCAAAAATCTCCAAAAAAAAAAAAAAATGTAAAAAGCCCAAATAAACAAGAAACAGTAGGTTTGTCAGAAAGAAAATTAATTTTGAAAAAGAGATTTGACTGTTTTCTTTAATCTTGTCTCTAAAGGGAGAAGATGGGACTCTTTGGGCATGGGGAGATGCCCACCTGAGATTTTTCCTGACAGAGTCTGCCGGACCTCCTGAGAAGGCCACCAAGAGTAAGTGTATTTCCCCAGGAGCAGGAATCAACATTGGGAAAAAGGAGAGGACGTGAACAGAAGGCACAGGCTTCTCCCTAAATGCTTTCTGGGCCATTCCTTCATGGGCCATTCCTTCCTGCGAGTCCCAGGAGCCTGGGGTGCACCTCTCTAGCATGCTCTGCTTTGTATGCTTCGCCTACCTGTCTTCTCCGCTAGGCATCAAGCTCCTTGAGGGGCTTTGTCTTTCAGTTTCTGTTCAGTGTCTAGCACTTGGCAGCCACATGGTTGGCATCCAATAAATATGTATTAAGGGAATGAATACACAGACTTTGTTAATTTATACTCTGTTTCAGCCCCCAAACATTTTGAAGTTGAACCACGTTGCTTAACTGTAGGTGAGTGGAGTTAAATTAAGGGTGTTTGTGCACTGCCTTGTCCTTGTCTGTAGCACATAATAGGTGCTCAGTCAGGACTTACTAAATGGCTGGTTCTTAGTATCTCCACGTTAATGCTCTGGAACTTAAATGAGGCACAATTGACTTCTTAATGGCATTGATTTTGCAACAAAGCAGCACTTTGGGGTAGCATTCACACTTCCTTAAGCTAGTTATTTTAGCGAGGCCGAGATCTTCCACTTACGGTTGGTTCTCGTTCTCTTGGTCTTGTGTTGTAAGAGTATAAGAGTGTGTATTTCTTCCCCTTCATTAAAGAGACTGTAGGTCCTTTGGCTGGTACCTTTTAAGGTCAGGACAATGGCCACCCCCACTGCAGGAAACAAAGGTTGTATTCAGGAAACAAAGGTTGGAAGTCCTTCAACAAAGGCAGTTAAGGTTCCTGTATCTCCTCCTTGCATAATGAATCTTGCCAGTTAAGACAACACCAGGGCAGGAGGGGGTGGCAGCTAGCCAGAATGGCCTGTGGCATTTCGATAAACAAACATCAATATTTATCAGAGCTGCTCTGTGCGCTTCCTCAGCTACAGGAACAGGGAGCTCTCCCTGGGCTTGTATATAGCTTTTTCTGTATGAGATAAATATTTAGGGCCATTAAAAACAAAAACAAAAACAAATGTTTGTACTGTGCTCCCCAGTTACCTAGGCTAATTTACCACGCTCGGTGGTCTTGTAGTTCATTAATAATATACAAATACAAATCAAGGGAAGAAATTGCCTTGTTAATTGACTTTTGAGATGCTAATCTAAGACTCCTTGGCTTTACACATTACCCGACAACTGCCTTTGTGCACACTGGAAGATAGACTTAGGAGAAAGCAGAAAGCCACCCCAAAGCAGATGTTTGAAAGCATTGCTACCAGGCTTGGTAAACAGGCACCCCTTCCATTGGTTCTCTTTAGGAATGTGGAGATAGAGGACACAAAGGAGAGAAACCAAGAGACAGGGATAGACTCATCCGTCCTGGAACACAGCCCAGATGTGCTACAAGGGAGGGCCATGCTGGGCTATGCTAGACTGTGTAGGGTGTTGCTAGGCTCTGTTTCCCAGCACAGATGGCTGCAACAAGATAGCCTGAAAGAAGTTTGCTCCACAGAGTCTGCCGGACCTCCTGAGAAGGCCACCAAGAGTAAGTGTATTTCCCCAGGAGCAGGAATCAACATTGGGAAAAAGGAGAGGACGTGAACAGAAGGCACAGGCTTCTCCCAAAATGCTTTCTGGGCCATTCCTTCATGGGCCATTCCTTCCTGCGAGTCCCAGGAGCCTGGGGTGCACCTCTCTAGCATGCTCTGCTTTGTATGCTTCGCCTACCTGTCTTCTCCGCTAGGCATCAAGCTCCTTGAGGGGCTTTGTCTTTCAGTTTCTGTTCAGTGTCTAGCACTTGGCAGCCACATGGTTGGCATCCAATAAATATGTATTAAGGGAATGAATACACAGACTTTGTTAATTTATACTCTGTTTCAGCCCCCAAACATTTTGAAGTTGAACCACGTTGCTTAACTGTAGGTGAGTGGAGTTAAATTAAGGGTGTTTGTGCACTGCCTTGTCCTTGTCTGTAGCACATAATAGGTGCTCAGTCAGGACTTACTAAATGGCTGGTTCTTAGTATCTCCACGTTAATGCTCTGGAACTTAAATGAGGCACAATTGACTTCTTAATGGCATTGATTTTGCAACAAAGCAGCACTTTGGGGTAGCATTCACACTTCCTTAAGCTAGTTATTTTAGCGAGGCCGAGATCTTCCACTTACGGTTGGTTCTCGTTCTCTTGGTCTTGTGTTGTAAGAGTATAAGAGTGTGTATTTCTTCCCCTTCATTAAAGAGACTGTAGGTCCTTTGGCTGGTACCTTTTAAGGTCAGGACAATGGCCACCCCCACTGCAGGAAACAAAGGTTGTATTCAGGAAACAAAGGTTGGAAGTCCTTCAACAAAGGCAGTTAAGGTTCCTGTATCTCCTCCTTGCATAATGAATCTTGCCAGTTAAGACAACACCAGGGCAGGAGGGGGTGGCAGCTAGCCAGAATGGCCTGTGGCATTTCGATAAACAAACATCAATATTTATCAGAGCTGCTCTGTGCGCTTCCTCAGCTACAGGAACAGGGAGCTCTCCCTGGGCTTGTATATAGCTTTTTCTGTATGAGATAAATATTTAGGGCCATTAAAAACAAAAACAAAAACAAATGTTTGTACTGTGCTCCCCAGTTACCTAGGCTAATTTACCACGCTCAGTGGTCTTGTAGTTCATTAATAATATACAAATACAAATCAAGGGAAGAAATTGCCTTGTTAATTGACTTTTGAGATGCTAATCTAAGACTCCTTGGCTTTACACATTACCCGACAACTGCCTTTGTGCACACTGGAAGATAGACTTAGGAGAAAGCAGAAAGCCACCCCAAAGCAGATGTTTGAAAGCATTGCTACCAGGCTTGGTAAACAGGCACCCCTTCCATTGGTTCTCTTTAGGAATGTGGAGATAGAGGACACAAAGGAGAGAAACCAAGAGACAGGGATAGACTCATCCGTCCTGGAACACAGCCCAGATGTGCTACAAGGGAGGGCCATGCTGGGCTATGCTAGACTGTGTAGGGTGTTGCTAGGCTCTGTTTCCCAGCACAGATGGCTGCAACAAGATAGCCTGAAACAGTACCATTAGACTCAGCTGACTGTCCAACTAGAAGCGAGGCTTGTCAGTATTAAAAAACTCCCGGGACCAGCAGTTAGCATAATGGCTATGTTGCTGGACTCCCACATAGTCAACTGTGGTTTGCGTCCTGGACCTGGTGGCTTAAAACTCACACCGGGCGCGTGTGCGTGCGTGCCCAAGATCCCGAGAGGAGAATGGAGGAGAAGGGATTGTGGCGTGGCCATCCCTCCTGGGGGGTGATTTCTCACTTTCTGGCTCTCTGTCTCTCTCTGTCTGGCGAGCACACGCGCCCTATAGCGAAAACCTCTCAAAAACAAACAAACAAACAAACAAAAAACAAAAAAAACCTCCCCATCTCAGGCCAGCAGGCAGCGTGGTGCTTAAGGTGCTGGACTCCCAGGTATGTACCTGACCACGTTTTTAGTCCCAGACTGGGCAGTTTCAAACTCATGACAGGCATGTGTGCGTGTGTGCTCAAAATCCCAAGAGGAGAATGGAGGAGAAGGGACTGTGGCTATTCCCCCCAGGGGGTGATTTCTCTTTTTTTTCTTCCTTTCTGTCTCTTTCTGTGTCTCTGGTGAGTGCACATGATCTAAAACAAAACAAAACAAAACAAAACAAAGCAAACCATCTCTTCTATGTCAGTCCTCAAAGGACATCCTAGGGTGGGCTCCAGTCTCTTTTTGTCCTTTCTGATCAGTGCCTGTGGAGAAGACATGGAACTTTTGTCAATTCAATAGTAATGAAGAGGGAGGCAGTAGAGTTCAGCAAAGAGGTTTTCTAGACCAGTCTTGGCAGTTGAATGGATCTGAATTTGGATCCTACCTATTCCCTTTTCCCCTGCAAGTGACTATCACCCAATCCTACAGTCTGGGAGCTGGGCTTTCAAGTTCTTGAATGTGATCCAGGCCTTAGCAGCTTTCCAGGCTCCAGCACGGCTTATGCTCCCTTTGAATCTTTTGGGGACCACTTGATGACAAATCAGCTCTTCCTTGAATGAGCCAACTCCTGGTCATGGAGAGTCATGAAGATTTTATAGAGATACAAAAGTGCGTCTTTTAAAAAAAAATTAAGAGTTTTTCTTTATTTATGTTAGAGCATGTGTGTGCATACATGATGGAGGAGTAGGGGAGAGAGAGAAAGAAAGAGAGAGGAGTACCCTTCACAGAAAGAACCCACTTCCTCCAGTCCTGTAGTCCATCAGATCTTGAACATTTGGGCGCATGGTGGGTGTGTTGCAGGGTAACAGGGGTGGGGATTTGAACTGCGGCTGCCATGTGGGATGCCACTTCTCTTGAGCAGTATATCACCACTGTGCCATGGAGCTGACCACAAAGGGGAGTCTTTAAACTGCCTGTGCTACAGTATACAGCCTAAGTACTCTTGTTTGATTCTTCTAGCTTCCTGAAGGTCTTCCTTAAGGGAAAAAAAAAAATTATTTTATTTCTTCCATGAGTGGGATCAATTATATGACAGAAAGAGAGTCCTAGTAAGGTCCCATCATTCTAGGCTCCTCTTCCCTCAGCCCTCCAGCCAGCCACGACCGTGGGCACTGGAACCCAGTGTGTTTCAAGTCAATCTGGGATCCAAACCTGTGGTTGGCCACGTGGCTTCCAGCACAGCACATCAGCATGTTATTGCCTGTGCCACTGAGGGTGGGCCAAGCAAGCTAAGCACTCTTGTTTGATTCTTCTAGCTTCCTGAAGGTCTTCCTTAAGGGAAAAAAAAATTATTTTATTTCTTCCATGAGTGGGATCAATTATATGACAGAAAGAGAGTCCTAGTAAGGTCCCATCATTCTAGGCTCCTCTTCCCTCAGCCCTCCAGCCAGCCATGACCGTGGGCACTGGAACCCAGTGTGTTTCAAGTCAATCTGGGATCCAAACCTGTGGTTGGCCACGTGGCTTCCAGCACAGCACATCAGCATGTTATTGCCTGTGCCACTGAGGGTGGGCCAAGCAAGAGCTTCCTTGATTGTTTTGCCTCTGGGACTTTTTCTTCCTGACCTTACCCTTTGAAGTCTCCTGATTCCTCTCTTTCTTTCCTTTCTTGATTAAAACAATAAAAGAAAGAAAACTGGACCTAGAGCACAAAGATTGAAATTCTTCTTTCTATTTTATAAAATGGGAATAATGATAATCCCTTTGTCATAAAGTGTGTGGGAGAATTAAATAAAATTTAAGTAAACATGAACTTTAAAGCAATGTTTTTAAAACGTGACCCATGAAATAGGTCTAAACGATTGCCACCAGCATTAAAATGAAGTAGGATAAAATAGAATAGAAACTATCAGAGTAGGCATACATTTTGCCTTAAGTCTTTTCTTTCAGTTGTGTGTATGTTCGTATATATAAGCACATGTGTGTATGTGTGTGAGACCACTGGCAATGTAAAGTTGACATTTTATTATGGATTATGGTCATTTCTTTAAGAGGTTCAGGTGTTTTGTCATTAAAATGTGTCTTCCGCTTTGAGGCCGTGATCTCTGAGACTCACTGAGTTACGAAACCCTAATGTTGAAAGGATCAGAAACCCCCATCTCTCCCCAGCTGGGAAAAGAATGAGGCTACCCCAAAGACACAATTTGGTAACTTGGGATTTACAGACATTTTTGTTAAAATTCACATAGAATTTATACAGACTTCTGAATTAATTATTGCCATTTGCAAACCAAGAGATTGGATGTAAAAAATCTAGATTTTTTCAGGCCAGCAGGTAGAGTGGAGATTAGGGCACTGGGTCTCACACGGCTGACTGCACGGCTTGAAACACAAGCCAGGCATGTGTGCATGTGTGCATGTGTGCATGTGTGTGTGTGTGGAGAACCGAGATCACAAGAAGAGAATGGAGGAGAAAGAATTGTGATGTGGCCATTCCCTCTGGGAGATGAGTTCTCACTTTTCCTTTTTCCATCTCCCTCCGGCAAGCACACATGTCTTATGGCAAAAATCTAAAAAAACAAAACAAAAAAACCAAAAATACACCTGGATTTTTCAATTTCTCTTGAAAATGTATAGATTTGGTCACACCAAGTGTCTTTCCCACAGCTTCCTCCTTCTCTAGTCCTCATTGATTTCCTGCCTACCTCTGGAAACGCGCCAGGCTTTGGACTCCTGGTCAACTTTCTGGGCAGAGTTGCTGCTCACTCCTCACCCTGGAGTCCTTCCCTATCTAGTGTCCACTGTTTGTTTTAGAAATCACAAAACTGGAACAAATGCAATACTTCCTTTGGTCTGAACCCTCATTTGTCAGTGGGCTGAAGAGGCCCACAGAGAAAAGGTGAGTCGGCCAAGGTCATGTGGATCATGCAATGTGGGTGGGAAGAGAACCTGGGTCTTAATCTCCTGAACTAGTGTCCTGCTCAGTCCTTGGGTGCAAGCGGCTGCCGCCCTCCTCATGAAAATCAAGCCCTTCAGAAGAGACGTGTTTGATTCATTTAAAAGGTCACGAGCCCGCACTTTTTTCTCGCCTTTTAGCCAAGGCAAATGTTTACTTTGCAAGAGTGAAATTAGATCCAGAGTGATTCCTACCTTGCTTACACGGTATTTAAATGTTTTTGTCTTTACCCTCTGTGACTTCTATCTGGCCTTGATGCCTGCGGCTGCTGTGAGCACAGCTTCTGCGGGCAGAAGACACCCATGCAAAGGGATTTACCAAGGACACAAAGGCTGTCTTCTTTTTCACCCCATTTTATTTAGCTCAAGGTCAGAGAAAAACAGCTTGGGGCACAATTTCTGTCCAGCAGGGTCACAGGCAACACCAGTGTTAGCAGCCTGATCCCCTGACCATTGCAGAGAGGAGATGCAGATGGCTCCAGTGGGGCCATTCGCAGAGGGACTGGGCTGGGCACTGGGCCAGGGGCTGCGCAGATTTTTCGACTGCTTTAATTTAAAAAAAAAAAATTACTTTTGCATTATAAAAATAGTCAAACATACACAAAAGTATAGAGAATAGCAGTAATAATAATGAACCTTCATACATCTATCACTCAGATTCAATTTGTATCAACAGTCCTCTGAACTTAAGTATATATTTTGATGTGATTTTAAATATTTAATATTTTGAGGGACCAGCAGTTGGTGTAATGGTTATGTCACTGGACTCCCATTTAGTTGACTGCGGTTTGAGTCCTGGACCCGGTGGCTTAAACTCATGCCGAGCAAGTGTGCATGTGTGCCCAAGATCCTGAGAGGAGAATGGAGGAGAAGGGATTGAAGCATGGCCATCTCCCCTGGGGGATAATTTTCCGCTTTCTGCCTCTCTCTGTCTTTCTGGCGAGTTCACATGCCCTATAGCAAAACAAAACAAAACAAAACAAAACTCTCAAAAATTATTACTTGGAAATAATTTCATACTTACAGAAAGTTGCAAAAATAATATAAAGAATTCTCATATACTCCTGAATGTGAACACTTTACATTTGTTTTATCATTATTTTGTCAACAGACAAAATTACAAAATTAAATATGGATTTATGGATCTATCTGGCATTTATTTAATGATTTTACTCTACAATATAAAATGAGAACCCTCATCTGGCAATGGCAGAATGGTGGTTTTTTAAAAGTATAAACATGCAAATAAAACGATTTTTTATAAAAGCTGATGGTTGACTTTATGTTACTTTTTTTGAAGGGGCTAAGGCAGAGATAACTTCCTTATTACACTGACTCAGATCGGCTGGAATCTCCTGATTTGGGGGAAAACTGGTCTGTTTGGGGATTTATCTATTTCCTGAACATTTCAGTTTGGTTATGTGGAATTTAGCATGAGTAACTCCATTTTTTGCTTGGTGTGGTTTATTGGGACCTTATGCAGGGGCTCCATCCAAAATAGTGACATTTCGTTTAACATTTTTTTTTTTTGGAGAGGTTTTTGCTATAGGATGCGTGCGCTCACCAGACAGACAGAGAGAGACATAGAGACAGAAAGCGAGAAATCACCCCCCAGGGGGGATGGTCACGCCGCAATCTTTTCTCCTCCATTCTCCTCTCGGGATCTTGGGCATGCACGCACACGCGCCCGGCGTCCGGGATGCGAACCGCAGTCGACTGGGTGGGAGTCCAGCGACATAGCCATTACGCTAACTGCTGGTTCCCTCGTTTAACATTTTTAATCACACTTTATACCTACACACACATACTATCATTATTTTTTTGGACCATTAGAAAGTCAGTGAATTTTGACCAATATTTATGTCTATGTTATCATCACTCAAAGTGGTAGAACATTTTCAGTACTACAGAAAGTTCCCTCTTGTCCTGTTCTGAAGGCAATCAATGTTCTTAGTTTTATCACCATAGAATACTTTTGTCTGTTCCTGAACTTGACATAAATAGGATTATCCCCTATTTTATTTTTGCTGAATTATTTTAAAGCAAACCCCTGATCTCACACTATTTCATCTCTATATCCTCCATAGTATTTCTAAAATGTATGGGTATTTTCTTACATAATCATTTTCTTACATAATCACGGTGCCATTGGGATGATAAAGTCTTTGTAACAAACTGCCATGTTTATCTCATGTTTGCAGATGAGCACACAGACTCACAGAGGCAGGAAGATTTGCCCGAGGTCACCCTGGAAGTGACCGGGGAGGCAGGTGGTCTTCCTCCAGAACATGTACTTTTTACATGGCTTAATCTCAATGTCCTGGCAGAGGTTTTGGCTGCCTCTGGGGACCGGAAGAGCTGACATCTCTACTAGTCTTTTCTCACCCTTCATGTGTTTCCTCCCAGCACCTGACAATCCAGAAACTCACTCACCATGACACTCCTGCCCTCACGCAACCACTGACACCAGTACTTTTTTTTTTTTTAAGAATTCTATTATTTTGAAAAGAAATTTATTTTATTTAACTTTATTTTTAAATTTGACTGGAGAAGGACAGAGTGAAAGAGAGAAGGTGAGAAAGCAAGCCGCCAGGTCTGGGACTCGAACTGCTTTCGGCCATGTGGGAGTCCCATGCCCCTAACCACCGCAGCACCTGCCGGCCCCTACACCAGCACTTTTAATGGATGCTGCCTGCTGACTTTGGCTGCTTCTCTCTGAAGCAGGAGAGAGGGAACAGCACCCCAGTGACCAGACAGTGGACAACCCACCGACGTGTTTGAAGGCTGTTGAGAGCTTCCCATTCATGGCAACCTAGATTTCAGAGAGGTGCTGAGACGAGGTAAGTCATCCAAGTGCAGACCAGATACATGTCTTTAATATTTCAGAGCATATTTGCCAAAGAGTTCTAATAGTATACAAACCCACATTTAAATGAGAGAGAGGAAGGGCAAAAACTGCCTGACTAACTCCCAGGGCATGGATCTCACCCGTGACAAAATGTGTTCCATGGTCAAAAAATGGCAGACCACGTTGAAGCTCATGTCGGTGTCAAGACTAAGGATGGTTATTTGCTTCGTCTCCTCTGCGTTGGGTTTACTAACAAACGCAGCAATCACACCGAAGACCTCTTATGCCCAGCACCAGCAGGTCTGCCAAATCCGGAAGATGATGGAAATCATGACCCGGGAGGTGCAGACGAATGACTTGAAACAAGTGGTCAATAACTGATTCCAGACAGCATCGGAAAAGACACAGAAAAGGCCTGCCAGCCCATCTACCCTCTCCACGGTGTCTTCGTCAGAAAGTCAAAATGCTGAAGAAGCCCAAGTTTGAATTGGGAAAACTCATGGAGCTTCATGGTGAAGGCAGTAGCTCTGGAAAAGCTACAGGGGATGAGATGGATACCAAAGTTGAACGAGCTGATGGATATGATATGAACCTCCAAGAATCTGTTTAAAGTTCAGGCTTTTAATAGTGACAAATAAAAAGTTCTATTTGTGACAAAAAAAATTATTTATCTTAACAAAAGAGTGGGGAGGCATCAGATGGCAGGGTAGTTAAGGTGCTGGACTCCCACATAGCCAACTGTGGTTCAAGACCTGAACACAGTGGTTTGAAAATCACGCCAGGCACTGTGAGAGTATGCTCAATATCCTGAGAGAAGAATGGAGAAGGGACTACAGCAGGGCCATATTCCCCAGGGAGTGATTTCTTCATTTCTCTCTTTCTGGTGAGTACACCTGCCCTATGGTGAAAATCTTTAAAAAAAGAAAAGAAAAAAAGAAGAAAGAGGAGTGATTTCTTAATTTCTCTCTTTCTGGTGAGTACACCTGCCCTATGGTGAAAATCTTTAAAAAAAGAAAAGAAAAAAAGAAGAAAGATCTCATGAACTGAGGGGCTGGGGAAGGAAAGACTCGAGGGAGATGGTTGGAGCTCTGGTACCCATTCCTCCCTCTTTCTCTCCTTCCTTTAGGTTCGATAAGCTGAATTTATTTTTGTTTTTGTTTTTGAGAGATTTTTGCTACAGGGCGCATGCAATCACTGGAGAGATGGAGAGAAAATGAGAAATACACACACACACACACACACACACATGGGGGAGGGAGGTGACCCCACTGCAATCCCTTCTCCTCCGTTCTCCTCTTAGAATTTTGGACATTCACACGTGCCCAGCATGTTTCAAGCCGTCAGGTCTGGGACCCGAACTGTGATAGCCATGTGGGAGTGCAACACCTTAACCACTATGCCACCTGTTGACCCCTTAGCTGCATGTTTTATGGACTAAATGTCTGTGTAACATCGCCTTTGGAAAACCACTGGCCTCCTCTGTCTCTTCTTTCTCTAGCAATTGAGATGCCAAGAAATTCAACAAGAGAATTCGTAACTCCCCAGACGGTCAGCAAACTGAAGGCCTGGGGGTGTGGCCATGGGTCCTGCAATGATAGATTCCTGTCGATGCCTGTGGACTTGTCACCACCTGCGTTTCCCGTTTCTTTCCCCCAATTACATATTGGTATTCAGAGAAGCAAAGCGTGATTTTTAAATGGGGACAAGAAATCCATGGAGGCTTGAGGGGCCTAGAAGAAGTTTTTATTTTTTTTTTCTCCTCTTCCTCTTTATCCTCCCTTTTCTTATTATTTTTAAAGCTACATGTTCATTGAAAACTTAGTAAAGAAAAGTGAAAAGAAGACAAGAAGAGCCTTTGTCATACATTGCCTATAGACAAGAAGGTGTATTTCCATTTTTTAAAATGTTAGATGCATTTCAACACAGCTCATATTAGACAGTACACAACTTTGTACTCTGCTTTTTTCACAGATCCCTGTTGGCCTAAGTACTTTTACCAACTGTATAATACCCCACCGGAGGATGATATCAACTTTTCCATACAAATGTGGGTTTGCAGGAGGTATTTTATTTATGTATTCACTTTTGTTCTTGGAAAATTGCTTTAAACATCTCATCTGTCACTGGTCAACCTGCTCTTCCCTCTCTCCCTGGCATGAATCATGGAGCACTTCATTTTGCACAATGCCCACCCTTGAGATGGTGATGCAGAGACTGCTATTATTACGGGCCAGCAAGTGGCATCGTGGTTAAGGTCCTAGACCCTCACATGGCTGACCATGGTTCAAGTCTCAGACCTGGCAATTTGAAAATCATGCCGGGCATGTGTGCGTGCATGCCCAAAATCCCTGGAGGAGAATGGAGGAGAAGGGTTTGTGGCGTGACCATCTCCCTGGGAGGTGATTTCTCACTTTCTCTCTCCATCTCTATTTTGCTGGCGAGCACAGGCACCTATGACAAAACAAAAAACAAACCATAAAAACGACCTTAGTGTCAATTCTAACACAACTGTTCACATGCCACGCGGTGAGTGCAAGGCTGAGGTCTGTGACCAGAAATGGGCTCTGGAAGTCTCCCCATAGAGTAGTGTGGGGGTCCCTCTGGCTTCTGTCTCTCAGCAATAAATCATGGCCGTGGAGTGGTTTCAGGAAGCTTACTGCCCTCTCAGCTCGTTAGTCTCCTGTGTGCTTAAAGCCCTTGAGATCTTTCCTACACTTTTGCTATTCCTCAGAAGGCCCAGAATAAGATCTAAGATCAGTTCCTCTTCCTCCACCACTGGAAGCCAAGCTCAAATATTTAGCAGTATAGAATGTAACGCCTTAAAAAAAAAAAAAAAAAAAAAAAAAAAAGACCTAACTATAAGGGGGATCCAAAAAGTTCATGGAAAATGGAATTGCAAGCACGTTTTGAAATTCATGCAGTTTTCCCGTAATACTCACATCCCATGAACAAAAATTTAAAAAAAAAAAAAAAAACCCCAAAAAAAAAAAAAAAAAAAAAAAAAAAAAAAGACCTAACTATAAGGGGGATCCAAAAAGTTCATGGAAAATGGAATTGCAAGCACATTTTGAAATTCATGCAGTTTTCCCGTAATACTCACATCCCATGAACTGGTAGACTCTGCAGATTTGTTGAATGTGGCCTCTCGCCAGTCATTGTGCCAAGGAATTATTCATAAGAGATTTCATTTCATTCTCATAGCCACCTCCTGAGGCAGGAATTGTTCTCCCACTTTGCACGTGAGGGAAGTGAGCCATACAGAAAGAGAGCTTGAAGGATGTGCTCAAGGTCACCAGGTAGCTGGGGTGGAACAAGGACTAGACCTTCCTCCCTGCCTCGCAGAGTCTTGGCCATGGTTTGAGGTGCCGGTCTTCTTCACTCTATCCACCCTCATCAGGATCTATTTGCATTAAAAGCAGAAAGGACTTTGATCAACCTGCCCCTGGCTTGAGGAGCCAGTAGCCACCTCCCTGACCCACTTAGCACCAAGGGCAGAGAGACACCCTTGATTATCCAGAAAGGCCTCCCAATCTCCCCTGTGCCTGATGGTATCTGGAGAAACGGGGCAGGTAGAACTCCGGAAACAGGGCCTTTTCCTTTCATTTCATTTCATTTCATTTCATTTCACAAACACAATGAAAAATAAAACCCGCTAATAGGATTGCCAGCTCAGCAGGCCCAGACAAGGGATTCCGAGTGAATATAAAGCTTTCCGGCACACCTTAAGATTGATGACAAGTCAGGAACAACGACAGGCAACCAGGAATGAATCAGGAGAGTCGCCTTTACTAGAGGGAGGGGGTGGACAGAGAGGGTGTGTGTGGGCCCAGCCACTACACCAACTCCTAGGGACTTGGGGCCTAGTTCTCCTGGGGCCCCCACGTCTTCCCAGGAGCAGAGGAAGCAGCTGACTGGTTCTCCAAGGCCTCTCCAGGGTGTGCCTCCCTTCCCTACTGGTACTTGCACTGCCGATGGAGGAGGGCTTCCCCGGCATAGGTGTGATAACCCTTCTATGACCCTGCCCTGGCCCCATAGGCCTCACTGGAGAGGCAAGTGTCTTCTGAGCCAAAAGAGATCCCTCTTTCCCGATCTTGGCCTGATACCAGCAGCTCTAGCTTGGGGCTGCTGGATCACGGCCAGTCTCCAAGCTGCTATCTGCCATCTCCCCCGCTGCGCTGATATCTCCGGATCTTCCCCACCGTGCCCTTCCTGGTTCTCATTATCTCTCGCCCCCGCGGGGCAGCTGACTGTGGAAAGGCAGCTGGTGGCTGAACAGCCTGGATTCTGCTGGGAGAGGCAGGTGCTCCGGGGGCAGGCAGAGAGACCCCAGCCGGTTCTGTTCTGGGGACTGTGCAGTGTAGAAACCCTCCCGCCCCCGTTTCCGGTCACGGGGACCTTCCAGGGAAGCGAACTGCGGTCACTCAGTTCTTAGGGATAGAGTCTGTCTAAACGGGTCAGATGACATTCAGGGATTTCACAAACTTACCCTTGACCTCACCTTCTCTTTTGCTCTCCTCCTACCCACTTCCCCTCCCCACCACCCACTTGGCTGAGGTTCTAGCACTGGTATCACCTCCTCCCTTGTTCTGGGGAGGCCTTTCCTGGTGTAATACCTACGTCTTGCTCTGTCCGCACTGTAAACAGCAGGTAAATGTTACCTACCTGCTCCTACATACTTTTAAACCCAGCTCAGTTCCATATATCAAAGAAAGACCTGGGCCAGCCAGACGGCATGGAGGCAGACTGGCTAGGCAGTTGGACATTAGGGAAGCCATAATGTAATGCTGATAAAAAGGGGGTTACTTAAAGCCAGCCAGCTGAGGCCCACTCTTTGGAAACATATATGCCCTTTTTCTCTAACCTCTGCACTTCCAGATCAAACCATTACAGACCTCCCCACAGGACACACAAAAGAACAATGGGAGTCAAAGTCCAGTTTCTTATCTTGGGAATCTGTTGGAAAACCACCGGGACCTAATGCAAACTCTGAGATAATACGAGGAAGACACAGCCCACACACACGCAGAATGGTACCAGAGAAAATTACTGGCAGCAGGGACCAAAATTACTCTCATACCACAAACACAAATAATATCTTTATGACTATTAGCCAATACTTCCTTTTAAAAACTTTATAAAGCTTAAGGTTTGGGACCAGCAATGGCATAGTGGTTACGTCACTGTACTCCCCAATCACGGTTTGAGTCTTGGACCTACAACTTAAAACTCACATGGGGCACATGTGTGTGTGTGCCCAAGATCCCAAGAGGAGAATGGAGTAGAGGGCATTGCAGTGTGACCATTCCCCGCCCTGGAGGGTGATTTCTCACTTTCTGTCTCTCTGGAAAGCACACACACTTTATAACAAAAAATCTCTTTCTAAAAAAAAAAAAAAAAACCTTAAGGTTTTTGCTCATTGAAAAGCTCCCCTTTAAGTTTTAAGGTGGAGCCACAACAGCTCAACAGCAATACAAGACATAGCTTTTAGCAGTGACTTAATGATTAACCTACAACAAAGGCTTTTTTCCTGGACCCACCACATTTCAGGAAGAAGGTACTGGTCATTATGGCCCAAAGCTTTTAGACAAAGAAACCTTCATACCCACGCCAAGATTAGGAAAAATAACTGAACCCATCTAGCATGTGACCCCACCACAAGGAGAACGCGTGCACAACCCAAGCCCCTCCAGAGAACAAGCCGGAACAAAGCCCCTCTGACGCACATAAAACCCTGAGCCTCAGTTCCTCTTCTGCAATGCATTCAGGACCGACTCTTTGCTTGGGAGCGTTGCTCTTCCTTCCCTTTTTTATCACACCCCGCTTACCTACTTACATCCCTGTCTCTTAATTCTTTGTGAGCTGCGGTCAAGCACCTGTGTCCTGCTGTAGGTGCTGGGCCTGGTCGCCACTGCACTCTCCCCACCCACCCCCCACCCCCCTGCCTCAGTCCCTGCATCAGCATGGCAGTTAGGGTGGCTGGATCCAGAATGGCTGACTGCGCAGTTTGAACCCTGGACCAGTAGCCTGAAAAACACCAAACATGCCAGGCACAGATGCATGTGTGCCCCAAATCCCTTGAGGAGGATGGAGGAGAAGGGATTGTGGCGTGGTCATACCTATTGGGGGGAGGTTCTCATTTTCATTCTCTCCCCCTCTTCCTCTCCGACTCTCTCCAGTGAGTACACACACCCTATAGAAAAATAAAAGAAGAAAAAAATAAAGGACAAATAAAAGTGTTTCAGGTACCACTTGGGGAAATACAGGCAAACCCTAGAGGCAGGAAGCAGTGGCTCTACTTCTCAGCCAGAAAACCTGTTACAGAAGAGCTAGACTCTGTTTCAGTTTTCTCTGGTTATTCCAGGTTTCCTGGAGCCTCAAGACCATTATTACAAACACTCGGTTTGGGGACCAGCAGATGGCGTAATGGTTACGTTACTGGACTCCCACATAATTGACTGGTTTGAGTTCCGAAATAAGTGACTTAAAACTCACACGGTGTGTGTGTGTGTGTGTGTGTGTGTGTGTGTGTGTGTGTGTGTGTGTGTGTGTGTGTGTGTGTGTGTGTGTGTGTGTGTGTGTGTGTGTGTGTGTTTGCATGCATGTGCATGCCCAAAATCCCAAGAGGAGAATGGAGGAGAAGGGATTGAGGCATTGAGGCATAGCCATTCCCTCTGTGAGGTGATTTCTCTCTTGTCTCTCCAGGTGAGTGCACATGCCCTATAGCAGAAAATCTCTCTAAATAAAAAAAGAAAGAAAGAAAGAAAATAAATAGTTTAATTTGTTTATCTTCATTTTAAACCCGGCAGTAATTGCCGCAAGTGCTGACACCTGTTGATGGGAATGTGAACTGCATCCTTATTTTGCACTGTCCCACAGGGCAAAGGGCAGGGCACTGCGGTGGTGCTAGAGCCGTTCACAGGTTTGGCTCCCACATTGATGAAAATGTATGTGTTTGAAGGAGACTATGAGTTTCCCTTAGAGAGGGGTTACTCATACCTCTGTCAAGAGAGAGGCATGGCACATCCACACGTCCCCTTCTAGGGCATTGAGGATACAGAAGCT